CAGCTGTGGGGAGTATAGGCTTGAGATGGGCCAATAGTGGAAGCAGGGAGATCAGCGCAGTTCAGACAGAGGAGGATGTCTGAGATCATGGTAGATGGCAATGGAGGTGGACAGATTCCAGGTGAGTGTTTGGAGGCGGAATTGATGGGGTTTGCTAATGGACTGGATGTGGAGGTCGAGGGGGAAAGGACGGCAGCAAGGACAGAGGACTCCTAGGTTTCTGACCTGAACAACTAAGTGAACAATGATACTACTGACACCGATGAGAAAGCCTGGGGGTGGGTGACAGACTCTGAGGTATGTGTGGGTGACTAAAACGTTGTTTGTAACATGTTAAACTTGAGATGTAAGACATCTAAATGGGGATCGCAAGTAGGCAGATAAAATTTTTAGCCTGGAGTTCAGGGGAGAATCTGACCTCTAACTACACATTTGGAAGCCATCAGCATATAGACGTTATTTCAAGGCATCGGGAGAACGTGAAGAGCCCAAAACATTTAGAAGTTGGGTGCAGTGGGAGGAGTATAGCAGAAAGTGCTAATTGATTCCATATGTATATAAACATATACATAATATATATGTTTAAAGATGGGTAATACTATGGCTTGTTTATATGGTGATAACGATCTGGAACAGGAGAGACTCACAATTTAGAAGGATCAGCAAAGGATCAAAATCTCTGAGACAATGTAAGGGGACAGGCTGCGGGGCTTAGGTGTAGGAAATCAGCTTGTAGTAGGAGGAATCAGTGTAGATGGAGGTAGGTTTGTTTGGTTGGTGGAAGGAAGAGGGAATTGACATCTGATGGTTTCAATTTTCTCAATGAATCGTGAAAAGGGCAGAGGAGGGGTGTGGGAAGGTTAATGTATAAGATAGCTGGTGTGGGGAAAAGAACAGCAAGCCTATTACAAAATCAAAGTAGAATCCTTTGGTAACATTGTCCATTTGAAGTTTACATCATTAAAGTGAAACCAGCCAGCTTAGTTGTGTGATTTTCTTCTAGAACATTCAGCTCTTCAGGTGCAGGTAGGAGGCAGATGGAAGGGCTTACCCAGGTCCAGAGTGTTGAACAGAAAAGTACCACAGAGGGAGAGAACGAAGAGCTAAGGGTGTTCAGAAGAGAGGGATTGTAATAATGGACTCGGAGACAGCGTGGATAGGCTAGGTGTGGGCTGATGGATTGAAGGATTGTTTGATGAGGCTGAAGAATTATGACTCTGGTGTGTATTTCAGGAAATGACCTGCAAGTGGTGTTCAGAAAGTGCTAGACTGTGTAGCCTCCAGGAAAACAGGCATCAAGTCTGTACTGTTCTCTCTTGTGTCGTTAGCTCCTCACAGCACCTGGCTCACTGCATGTGGTCAATAATGCTTTTCGAACTGAAAGTAGCGTTGTGAGGAGAATCCATGTCTTGGCCTCATTTTTTACCTCCTCTATACTGTAAAGTCTTGGACCTCTCTGTTGGGTAATGAAGTCTATAAGTTAAGATAAACAGCTGAAAAGCATGCTTATTGAAAAGTGCAAAATGACCAAGAACTGGGCCAAGAACTCAGATAACACACAGTGAAGACTCTTTAAAAACAATTTTATTTGTTCCTCAGTTGATAGGCTCCCTCCTCCGGGAACCCCGGGCGACCTTGGGAACCAGGGGCAGAGGCAGGGACTCGGCGCGTCGTGGGCCATGAGGGAAATCCACCTACCAAGCTAGGGGGAGCTTACCGGTGGAGGTTTAAAGAGTTTGAAATGCGAGTCCGGACTCAAGTAGTGTGATGCAACCCAGTCAGCGGCCTCGGCAGGGGGAGGGCAAGCTGGAGGACCGGGGAGCAGTTGCGTCACTCAAGGTCAACTCCAGGAGTGTGCCTCCCCGAGCTTTGGTGTGCTTGAGAATTTGAGTACAGAAGTTTTTGGGGAGGGAGGGGGAGGAAGGAGTAGGGGAGGAGTCCAAGCAGCAGTGTGAAGTCTTCTTCTGTGGTCAGCTAGGTGTTAAGTCTTCTTCTGTGGTCAGCTAGGTGTTAAGTCTTTTTAAGTCTTTTTTGCTCTAATATGTGCTCTAGCAAAGCAAGCAATATAATGTCCACAAAGTCAGGTCTCTCTGGGTTAAAAAGGGCAAGGAGAATGTCCAAGACCCCCCTAACTTGATCCCAGAGCTCCGGTTCCACAGCCAGTGGTCCTTGGTTCTCGGGCTGTCCACTCATGATGCCTTTACACTTTGTCTTGTTTCTTGTGAGATAGGTAATCTTTTCCTCTCTTTACCTTTGCTCACTTTCTTTTTTTTATAATTTTATTTATTTATTCCCCCAGAGCCTCAGTAGATAGTTGTATGGCATAGTTGCACACCCTCCTAGTTGCTGTATGTGGGACACGGCCTCAGCATGGCCAGAGAAGCGGTGCGTCAGTGGGCGCCCGGGATCCGAACCCGGGCCGCCAGCAGCAGAGCGCGCGCACTTAACCGCTAGGCCACGGGGCCGGCCCTTTGCTCACTTTCAGGGTCTACTCGTCCTCTTCCACTTCTTCCCAAGTACAGACATTACATAAGGTTTCCTCTTCTGCCCTTTTCTCACTCTAAATTTGGGCTGTCCATTTCGTGGCTTCAACTCTCATCTGCATGGAGCTAACAAACAAGTCCACATCTCTAGTGTGGCTTTTTTTTCTCTTATGTCCATTCTCTTCATCCCACAGACTGGGGGTCTCCTCAAATGTGCCCCATCAGTACTGCAAAGTCTGCACATCCCAAACCAAACTCATGGTTTCCCCTTACAACCTTCTCTTCTCCTGGACCTGCATCTGACATATACAGTCTACCCTGCCCTGCTTCTTCCAAATTCCTGGATCCTTATTTATTTTTTTTTGGTGAGGAAGATTAGCCCTGAGCTAACATCTGTTGCCAATCCTCCTCTTTCTGCTGAGGAAGATTGGCCCTGGGCCAACATCCGTGCCCACCTTCCTCTACTTTATATGTGGGATGCCTGCCATAGCACAGCTTGATAAACGGTGCGTAGGTCCGTGACTGGGAACAAAACCTGTGAACCCCGGGCTGCCAAAGCAGAGCACTCGAACCCAACCACCAGGCCACCCCCCAAATTCCTGGATTCTTATATGCAAAAACAGTGTTTGGCAAAGGTAAGATCTGTATGGTAGACTTTTTTTTTTTTTTTGAGGGGAGGGGCATGGAAATAGACATTGGTGGGAAAAAGTTATAAAAATAAAACTTGTACAAAGTACACAAGTTTATGGGGTAAAATTCATAGCATAGGTATTGCTCACAGTCAAGCACGTCCGTGGGTTGCCTCCTCAGAGTCCATTCACCTCTTCTGCTAATGGGACCCTGATTTTCTACTGGCGTACTTACCCTCTCTGCTACTCAAGGCACGTTGAGCTAAATCCCAGCTCCAGAGATGAGCCCAGATTAGCTACAGTGATGGTTCAGAGTTTGGCACAAGGTCTAATTTGGGCACTAGGAACAAAACCCAGGACTGAAGCAAGAGCTATTGGGAGAGACCTTTTTTCTTCCCCTGAATGGGGAACAGGACTGCTGAAATCTGTGGCTATATGAAGGCATCCCTCGGGGCCAAGGGGGCCCTTGTGTGGACTGAAGATGAAGTGGACTCTGGAGAAGGGAGAGCAAAGCATCAGCAAGAAACCATATCTTTGGTGACTCCAAGTAGCTGATCAATCCTCGCTTAAAATGAGCACTCCCTCTGGACTTTCAGTCTTGAGAGTTCCTGGATTCCTTAGATATATCTGAGTCTGATTTTCTGGCACTTGCAAATTGGGAGTTCTAACCTATAAATTCACAATCCCACTGCCCCGTGAGAACCACTGTCAACATTTTGGGTTTAATTCCTCCCATACATTTTAATGCATCTATATATACACAATGTCCTTTATTGTTTTACTTTTACAAAATTAAGAAAATACATATACTTTTCTGAAATATTTCAGTTGATAATACCATTTAGCTCTTTTTATGTTAACCAAATCTACCATTATTGTTTTGAATTACTGCATACTGTTCCATTCTAGGAATATACCACAATTTAACAAATTTCCTGTTAAGGAACATTTACATTTTTTTCTACTTTTCATATTATAAAGTGTCACTCTTATACACTAGTCCTATTTCTTTAGGTCCTAGCAGAGAAATTGCTGGATCACAGAATATGTACATTCTTGAGGCTCTGATGTATTTCACCAGATTGTCCTCTAAACGGAACATATAGTTTATATTCCATTGGCACGGAGATTGGTGTTTGATGGATAGAAGGAGGTGATGAAAGGCAAAATACTTGCTAAAAAGAAAATATTCATCTCTTTACTGAATATTCATTGAGTGTCCATTATTTGTACCGTGACAGGTGATGGGGATATACTGGTGACCAAGGATTCCTACACTTGTTCCTCTGTATTCTTCCTTCTGCAATTATGGCAGTTTTGGAAAAACGTCTAGCTTTGTGGATGAATTAGCCAATGCCACACATCAGGATGTCACACAGATGACATCAGAGGGAACACTCAGGAGACAGTGGAGTTGCATCTTGGCACAGATGGGGACACAACTGTATGGGATAGTGTTCACCCACACCTTCCTTCCTATGCTCTCCCGTACAGATGTGGCTAGAAGCCTGGAAACTTGATCTCCCTTGCCAGCAGGGTTCTGCTAAGGGGCTGCCCATGGGAGGCACTTGTGAGAGCCTAGAAGGCAGGAGGGAGGCAGAAGCAGTTGTGTTCCAAGGAGACACAGGTACCTGTTAAGGCTGTGTGGCAGAGAAGGGACACAGTTGCACAGGCTGCTGCAAAGGCAGCAGCAGCAGACAACCCAGAGTTTGCGGAGGCAGCATGGGGGCGCATTAGAATGGCCCATATGGGGCTGCAGCCGCTTCCCCTCAGTGCCCAGCACTGGGTCATTCAACCTTCCTCTGTTTTATCCTTCATTCTGTTTAACAACTTTATAACCTAAATCCCTTTATTAAATCCTTCTCTCTTTGAAATATCTAGAGTGGTTTTGCTTTCCTAACTGATGGAATATAGCCCAATGTTAAAATTATCCTATAAATTCTGTTAGGCATGAGTTGTTCCTGAGACCCACACAGCATCTTCCAGTAAGTCTAACAGAGCCAGTTTTTCTAGAAGCAATGGAAGAGACTGCTGATTTGTTTTTTCCCCCAGTTGAATACCAGGTGAATTAGGTGACTGGCTTTGAGAGGGCATCTTGTATGAAAAATATGTATCTTTAAACACTAGAATCACACTCAGGAAGATGAGACACGCACACTGTGACAGGTACGTGGGAACTGAAACCAGTTTGAGGGAACAGCAGATCCGCAACTTCTAACACTCATTGCATACTTATATACATTGAGAACATACATATGAACAACTGGAAAAACAGAAAGCAAAATGGCATGCATTATTAAAATTGTTAACTTTCTCATTTTTGCCGAATGCCATTAGAGTTGAATCCACGTAATGAAATGTTCACAGGACGTGACTCTACCCTCTGCTACAATTGGAGGGACTTGGGATACTGTGGTTTATAAAAACTGTTAGTTGTAATTATTTTCAATACAATGGTACAGAAACATTAAATCAACTCATATGCTCCTCTTTCTTTCCACATTCAAACAAACTCAAATATGAACATGTTGATCAATTTTTAACGCTCCACAATACAAGCTGTCGTTTTCATGCCCGTCCTTTGGCCACTGTACCTTCTTTAACAAACAGCAATACTGAAAATAGCTTTACTGACTCACGTATATAACAACCAAACCTAGAAAAGTGGACAACAGGATCATCCGCTTAACTTCTGTCATCGACGTCGTCTCCTTCACTGTCGTCGTCACAATAGAAGATGTCTCTGAACAGGAAGACTTGCCTGGGTGCTGCAGGAGCCTGGATTTCGGTACCTCTTCTCTTCATCTTATTCTCTAGCTTTTCTTTAAGCAGAGGTAGACTAGTCTCATAAAGGTAGTCTATAATCTCTGAAGAAAAGACATTTAGTTTTGAAATTATTTGCACAAAGCCTTCTCCTCAGGTCAAGGCACAGAGGGCACTGATAATGACACCGCACTGCTACTGTTTTTACCTCGTGCTGGACCCTGTGCTAACTGCTTTACTTATACTCACTCGTTCAACCTCTCAACATCCTGTGAGGTAGGCACTACTGTTAACCCATTTCAAACGAGGAAACCGAGGCACAAAGACATCACGAAACTTGCCCAAAGTCATGGAGTTAGTAGCGGTAAAGCCAGGATTCAAACCCAGGAACTGATGTCTGCTGAACGCAAGAACTACTTCACCACACACTCCAGGGCGGACGGCACCTGGACCAGTGGCTTCCAAACACCAGTGCCGGGCAGACCAGAGACTCTCCTGTGAGCTCGTTAGAGAAAATCTAGCTTTGGCGCCAGCCCACAGGTCAGGATTTGGTGTGTCTGGGAGGAGGCCCAGGTGTGTGTATTTTTCACAAGTTCCCCACGTGACTCTGATGATCCGAGTTTGGGAATTACATGTTTAAACCACCCACAAATGGCTGCAAAGAAGGAACGGGGCATCTTGTGTTTTTTCTGGAACAGTGTGTGTGTGTGCATGTGGTATGACTGTGCGCGTGTGAGCATGTATGTGCAGGATGGCAATCCAGAAGCACTCACAGTCATTTACTGAGTGCTTGCTAAGCGCCCAGCACCCTGGTGGCCACATTTTACATGTGCGCTATCTCATCTTGTACTTCTGAAAGTCCTGTCAGGCAGGGATTATAACTTGCCGATTTTCACCATTTTACGACTGAAGAAACTGAGGCTCCCAGAAGTCAAGTCACTTGGCCACGGTCACACCACCAGTGTGTGGCACCAGACGCTGTGTTCTTAACTATTCAAATACTGAAAATACTGACCTGGAAAAGTCTTCTTCTGCCAAAAGGGAACACAGGTAGCTTTCAGCTTATAAAATTTAGTTTGAACATAAGATGGAGGAACATCACTTTAGAAAGGAAAAGATAAAAACAAGTTAGTGTCAGGTTAAAAATCAGTCATTTCAGTACTGTGTACTAATACATTGATGAGGGTGAGGTCTACAGGCATAAGGAGCTTTCTCAATCTTGACCATGAAATCATGACGTCCATAAATGTGTGATAAAAATCAGACACATATGAAAAACTATTGTTCATTTGGTTAAGAAAACACACACAAAAGGAAGACCAATAGGACAACAAGATGGGTTTGGTTTAAATTAGAACAATCTGAATTACTAGTTCAGGAAGACGAGGTACAATACTGGCTCAGGTACTGAGGCTGACCTCGTCCTTGGCCCTGCCCCAAGTGCTTTCCACGTAGCCACAAACAATCCTCACGACCACTCTACAAGGGAGCTACCACTCTTACCACTCAATTTGGAGATGGGGAAACGGAGGCACAGAGGAGCTGCCCAAGATCTTACAGCTAATAAGGGGTAGAGCTAGGACAAGTGGGTGGTCTGACTCCAAATCCTACACTCCTAACCATTATACTTAGGATAAATACATATTTGTGACAATTCTAAGGCAGATGTCCCCTGATTTTTTACTTTGCAAAGCTAAAAAAAGCAGATGTTTATGATGTTTTAGTGAGTCAAATATGTTTTCCAGTTATAATAAGCAAGACAGAAACAACCAAATCTTAAATTGCTTTTTAAATTGAAAATCACTAACTTCAGGGGCTGGCCCAGTGGCGGAGTGGTTAAGTTCATGCACTCCAAGTCGATGGCCCGGGATTCGCAGGTTCGGATCCCAGGTGCGGACCGATGCACCGCTTGTCAAGCCATGCCATGGTGACGTCCCATATAGGAGAAGGTGAGCACAGGTGTTAGCCCAGGGCCAATCTTTTTTTTTGTGTGAGGAAGATCTGCCCTGAGCTAACATCCATGCTAATCTTCCTCTTTTTGCTGAGGTAGACTGGCTCTGAGCTAACATCTATTGCCAATCCTCCTCCTTTGTTTTTCTCCCCGCCAAAGCCCCAGTGGATAGTTGTATGTCATAGTTGCACATCTTTCTAGTTGCTGTATGTGGGACGTGGCCTCAGCACAGCCAGAGAAGCGGTGCGTTGGTGCGCACCTGGGATCCGAACCCGGGCTGCCAGTAGCAGAGTGCGCGCACGTAACCACTAAGCCACGGGGCGGGGCTGGGGCCCATCTTTCTCAGCAAAAACAGGAGGATTGGCATCAAATGTTAGCTCAGGGCTGATCTTCCTCACACACACACAAAAAAAAATCACTAACTTCACTTCCTGGACACTTTTTCTTAAACAATAAAAGCGTGACTAATTTGTTTCAATAATAACAAATCTGGTTGTTAAAATGATGAGCGTGAATAACTTTATCTGTTAAGTGTATGTAGAGGTAAAAGATGATTGAGCTCTTTCAACCTCTTCAACTCAGCAACCACTAGCTGAACGTGCCCTATGTACCAGGCACCGGGCTAGGAATCTCCGGTGCATCACCTCCTTTAGTCCTCATTACGGTCCTATTAAAGCATTTTGTAGATGAAGAAACAGGCTCAGAGACAAGTTAGGGACCAACCTGCCCAAGGATGGCTACATAATGAGTGAAGTACCAGGACTCAATGCCAGGTCCGTCTGACTGCAAAGCTCAAGTTTCAAGGCATCCACGCCTTCCCTCTTCCCCATGCAGCACGCTCAGCGTGATGTTCTGCAGACCCAAGCTCAGGCTTTGAGAAGTAACAATAATTGATGCGGACATTTCAAACTAAGCAAGTGTTACATCTCATTAGGTATAGATGCTTTGTTTAAATCCTGCCTAAATAATTCACAAGAGAGGCTTTAAGACTCTGAAGAGATTGAAGTTTTAATTCAATTATTTTACTGTTTTAATTCATTATTAAGACTCTGAGAATATGCTATTTCAAACAGTATTTGACTAGATGCCATAATCTCTATTTTATAGCTTTGAGTTTATAAATTTTAAGTAGAATAACCCATTTTAAATATATAATTTTACTTAAAATCACTAAAAGCCCATTTTAATTTAAGAAATCATGTGATCTGAAGCAATGTCACAAAATACACAAAAATTTATTGGAAAAGTCAGATTTTTTTAAAGGTGGTTTGATATTTGTTGACACAAATACTTTTCAGGATGAGAGTTGGTGGGGTGCACAGAGGGGTCCCTTTCCTTCAAAGCAGCTGACACCCTCACCTCTCAGGGACCCACAATATTGAAAGTGGGTACCCCACCCCTCAGGTGAGCTAGAAAAGGAAAGGGTTTGGAACGACGGGCATGTGTCTGTGACTCCTGGCAGGGCCTGTCACTAAAAGATTCCAATTCTCCAAGTCAAAAAAACCCCAAAACTGATTGTTCTTTGTTCGTAATCCCAAGGTATGAATAACTAACCACCAAAAACCAGTTTATACCCTTCCGATTGGATCAATGACAACTTCACACGAGCAGCCACACTTCTGAAAGTCAGCCAGGCAGCAGCAGCCTCGCTCTACTGTCCACCCTTCCAAAACTAACAGCCAAACAATCCCTCAACACCCCATTTCTGCAAGTCCACCAATCCCTGAACCCCATGATTCTCAACAATTTGCTTTACTTAGAGGGACTGTGCTTTGCAAGCGAGCTCTCCCGTGCTTAGCAGGCAGTAAACTCAGCTACTGAGAGTGGTGGCCTCCCTCTTCAACAGCAGGAACTGACTCAAAATGCAAGGACCACAGCAATGAAGACTCACAGTGGAGTAAACAGATAGCTTATAGACACATAAAAGTTCAATCTCACCCCTCAGATGAGAAATGCAAATGAACCCCACACTGAAACTACTGAAGGAAGCTTGAAAAGGAACAAGATGTTTATATGGTCTCAAAATATCTCCCCACAGCCATTTCTTATCCCCCAGAGAAAAACTGTTACTTTTAAACAGTGGAAAATGTGGCAGATGCCACCAGAATCAAATGATCACAATCAGAATCATGTGCCTCATGATGTGAGGTGACGTGGCGATAGACATAGCCTCACCTATGTCATAGTCCTGCCTAAAATACACAACCTGAAACTAGTCATGAAGAAACACGAGACAAACTCCCACGAAGGGACAGTCTACAAAACAACTAGCTTGAATCCTCCCACAATTTCAATGTCATCAAAGACAAAAGCAGAAGAACTTGACAGATTGAAAAACACTAGGGAGACACATTAAATGCAATGTGTGATCCTGGACTGGATCTTAAATTGGGGGAAAATGCTATACAGGACATTATTGGGACAACTGGTGAAATCTGAATGTGGACTGTGTTTTAGAGAATAGTATTGTATCAATGTCATATTTCCTGAATATGATAATTATACTGGGGTATATAGAATAACATTCTTGTTTAGGACATGAAGCCCACCACTCACTCTCAAATGGTTACGGGAAAAAATTTTACCCCCTTGGAGAAGGGAGCAGGAGAGGGAGGGAGGCATGATTAAGCAAATGTGGCAAAATGGTAATAGGCTGACTACCTAACAGGCAGAGGGTATGTGGGTTCTTTGTACTGGTCTTATAACTTGTTAGCTCTCTGAAGCTTTTAAGAGACTTTGCACGCATTTCATTTACTCTTCTTAGATATCTTTAGGGGGTGGAGTGGAGGGAGGGTTGGTCCAATATACTTGGTCCAGTATATAGAGTGGGGGTTCTAAATACATATATGCATAAACACAATTTATAGACGAATTCCATATACATCATGAATTTTAGGCCTGTTCTTTAAAATCTGAGAGGCAGTCATTCATGAAAAGTCATCTCTTATCCTTTAATTAGCTTAGTATTAAACAAATGGTCTTACCCTATGGTACTAGCAAGATCTTCCCAGTCTATTTCATTAGCATCTTCCACATTTATTTCATATAATCTATGAGAAAAAATAAAAACTAAGTTTTCAAGCAAAAATCAGCATGATGGACATCTTCATGGACTCACCGAATATTAAGAGCTGGAAGGCATGAGTGTGTTCACCCCTGTTCCAGCTCCCTCATTACACAGGCCCAGGGAGGCTGGCATGCTAACCCAAGGTCATTGAGCTAGTGAGCTACAGACCAAAAAAACCACCTCTCCTCCCCTGAGCCTTTTGCATCTCCCACCAAACCATGTTGCTTTTTCATGGTAAAAAACACAACTTCATTCAATGTAGACATATAGAAAGAGCACATGTGTGTACTCAGCACTTACTATGTGACAGACACTGTGTTAAGACCTTTACATCTGCTAATTCATTTACCCTCGACACCCCCTGACGAGCTTGGCGAACTACCTCCATTCTACAGACGAGGAAATGGGGCTGAGAGCCCGAGTTATGGCTCAAGGTTTCATGACTAACAGGCGGGGCCATCGCTGGAACCCAGGCCTGCCTGACCTGAGATGCCCTCCTGGGCCCTGCTAGTCTATGCTGTCTCTCCGGTAGGGGAAAAAGGTGGCGTTGGACCCAGCCAGACTGGCGTGGAGAATGCGGAAGCACACCAATCAAGTTAAAGCAGGGGTCATGACAGAGAGTAGGAGAACAAAGCTGGACAGGGTGGCCAGAATCCGAAGGTTTCTTCTGCTCTTTGTGGTTCCTCATTTGACATGAGCCCAGGTCTGTTAGGCTCACAGGCTTCGTAAAGTAGGCCCATGTCTCCCCTCCTTCAGGGGAGGGAGGGAGGACTCTGCATGGACCAGAAACTCAAAGACAGAACTGAAGACCAAGCAATAGTGATACCAACGAACGCATGCTGGAGAGCAGTAGGGCTCTGCCTGAAGTATTTACCTCCATGTTCCAATGGACGGAAATAACTAATATCCACATGAAAACCTCCAAAGACTAAAATAACTGCATTTACTGAGTGTGTAGTACACTTTACATGCATTATTTCCTTTCTTCTCCCAGTAACACAAAGAGGCAGGTACTAGTATCATCATCCTCATTTAAGACGGACAAACAAAGACCTAGAGAGGTAGGGAACATGTCTGAGGTCATACATGTAGAAAGTGCTGGAACAGGGATTTGAACTGTAGCAATCTTACTGTAGATTCTGCTGTTTAACAACTACTCTTTGGCTAGAGAGGAGAACAGTTAAAACAGTGCCACTTTCCATTTCTGTACCTTTCAATAAGGTTTATTTTGGCCTGCAGGGCATGAACTCCACGGTATACATGCTGACCATTTGTCATCCTCTTGGTTAGAATTTCTGTCCTATATTAAAAGAAAGAAAAATATAGTTTCCTTTCAGGTGTAAAGTTTCCATTTAAATTTCCTATATTTTTCTCATCTAAATTGCCCTTATTCAGAACCACTTTCTAACTTTTGCAATTCATCACTGCTAACATTTACCACCATCAAGAATTTACCTATTTTTTAAAAAAAGTAGGAAACGACAAATAAAATGATAGAAAGTTGATGGTTATTTATACTGGATGATGGATACAAGAAGTTCTAAGCTTGTAAAAAAAAAAGTGGCATGGGCCAGCCTGGTGGCATAGCGGTTAAGCACACACGCTCCGCTTCGGGAGCCCTGGGTTCACAGGTTTGGAACCTGGGCGCTACACTGACGCACTGCTTGTCAGGCCATGCTGTGGCGGCGTCGCACATAAAGTAGAGGAAGATGGGCACGGATGTTAGCTCAGGGCTAATCTTCCTCACACACACACACACACACACACACAAAAACGTGGGAAAAGATAAATAAAATGATAGAAAGTTGATGGTTACTTACACTGGATGATGGATACAAGAATTTCTAAGCTTGTTCTAAGATTTCCATAAAAAAGTTTAAAAAAGGGGGAAAAAAAGAATAAGCCTCTTAGCAGATGCTAAAGGACACTATGTAAACTCAATTTATTTTTGATTGTTTATAAAAGAGATTGACATTGCTCTTATTATCATTACCAGCTGCTGGAACACCAAATAAGACAAATTTAGTAAAGTGATAAATGATCTGATGATTCCTGTAATGCCCAAAGCTAATGGCTGAAGGAAAGAGTTGAGCAAAGTTCCTAATAAAAGCAGCAACCCAATTAAGAATATTCAAAAAGTGCTTATCTTGAATAGCAAACTTTGGCACAATCTGATAGATCATGAGCTATTACATTTACATTCTTAATTAGGGAGATACATGATACACACACAGTAATTGACAGCAATGTTCTTAATAACCCTCCATGTTCACAGGTTTGAAATATATCACTTGAGGTCGTTTCGAGGTTACAAGAAGTAAGTACATGTTCAGGGTTCAAGTTTCCTCCTTTTTTTTTCTCAAATTAAAAAAGAAGACTTGCATGTTATTTAATTGTGTTGATTCTGAAGCACAGATACCTTCCTCATTCCCCTTTTCAACACTGATATATCATCCTCCAACTGAGGCTTACAGCCCACTCCCCCGACCCTTTTTTTTTTTTACTTTATATTCCTTGTTTTATTATTAATTTATGTTGAACTTTTTTCAATTATCTTATTGAGGTCATAATGGTTTATAACACTGTGTAATTTCAAGTGTACATTATTATTTATCAGTTTCTGTATAGACTGTATCATGCTCACCAATAGTCTAATTTTTATCTGTCACCATACATATGTGTCCCTTTACCCCTTTTGCTCTGGTATCCACTAATCTGTTCTCTTTATCCACGTGTTTGTTTATCTTCTACATATGAGTGAAATCAAGTGATGTTTGTCTTTCTCTGTCTGGCTTATTTCCCTTAACATCATACCCTCAAGGTCCACCCATGTTGTTGCAAATGGGACGATTTCGTCTTTTTTTTTTTTTATGGCTGAGTAGTACTCCATTGTATACATATACCACATCTTCTTTATCCATTCACCCGTTGATGGGCACTTGGGTTGCTTCCACATCTTAGCTATTGTGAATAATGCTGCAATGAACATAGGGGTGCATAAGTCTCTTTGAATTGTTGATTTCAAGTTCTTTGGATAAATACCCAGTAGTGGGACAGCTGGATCATATGGTATTTCTATTTTTAATTGTTTGAGAAATCTCTTCACTGTTTTCCATAGTGGCTGCACTAGTTTGCATTCTCACCAGCAGTGTATGAGGGTTCCCTTTTCTCCACATCCTCTCCAACATTTGTTATTTTTGGTCTTGGCAATTATAGCCATTCTAACAGGTATAAGGTGATGTCTCATTGTAGTTTTGATTTGCATTTCCCTAATAATTAGTGATGTTGAACATCTTTTCATGTCCCTGTTGACCATCTGTATATCTTCTTTGGAAAAATGTCTGTTCATATCCTCTGCCCATTTTTTGATTGGGTTGTTTGTTTTTTTGTTGTTGAGTTGTATGAGTTATTTATATATTTTGGAAATTAACTCCTTGTCAGATATATGATTTGCAAATATTTTCTTTTCATGGTTGTCTTTTCATTTTGTTCCTAGTTTCCTTTGCATTGCAGAAGCTCTTTAGTCTGATGTAGTCCCAATTGTTTATTTTTTCTTTTATTTCCCATACCCGAGTAGACATGTATTTGAAAAGATGCTGCTAAGACCAATGTCAAAGAGTGTACTGCCAAGGTTTTCTTTTAAGAGTTTTATGGTTTCAGGTCTTACATTCTTTAATCCATTTTGAGTTAATTTTTGTATATGGTGTAAGATAATGATCTACTTTTATCCTTTTGCACATGGCTGTCCAGTTTTCCCAACACCATTTATTGAAGAGACGTCCCTTTCTCCACTGTATGTTCTTGGCGCCTTTGTCGAAGATTAGCTGTACGTAGATGTGTGGTTTTATTTCTGGGCTTTCAATTCTGTTCCATTGATCTGTGTGTCTGTTTTTTTGCCAGTACCATGCTGTTTTGATTTCTATAGCTTTGTAGTACATTTTGAAGTCAGGGATTGTGATGCCTCCAGCTTTGTTCTTTTTTCTCAGGATTGCTTTCACTATTCGGGGTCTTTCGCTGTTCCACATAAGTTTTAGGATTCTTTGTTCTATTTCATGAAGAATGTCATTGGGATTCTGATTGGGATTGCATTGAATCTGTAGATTGCTTTAGGTAATATGGACACTTCAACTATGTTTATTCTTCCAATCGATGTACATGGAATATCTTTCCATTTCTTTGCATCATCTTCGATTTCTTTCAATAATGTCTTATAGTTTTCAGTGTATAGGCCTTTCACCTCCTTGGTTAAATTAATTCCTAGATATTTTATTCTTTTTGTTGTGATTGTAAATGGGATTGTATTCCTGAGTTCTCTTTCTGCTAGTACATTATTAGTGTATAGAAATGCAACTGATTTTTGTAAGTTGATTTTGTACTCTACAACTTTGCTGTAGTTGTTAATTATTTCTAATAGTTTTCTGGTGGACTCTTTAGGGTTTTCTATATATAGGATCATGTTGTCCACAAATAGTGAGAGTTTCACTTCTTCCTTTCCAATTTGGATACCTTTTATTTCTTTTTCTTGCCTAATTGCTCTGGCCAAAACCTCCAATACTATGTTGAATAGGAGTGGCAAGAGCAGGCACCTTTGTCTTGTTCCTGTTCTCTGAGGGATGGCTTTCAGTTTTTTACCATTAAGTATGATGTTGGCTGTGGGTTTGTCAGGTATGGCCTTTATTATATTTAGGTCCTTTCCTTCTATACCCATTTTATTGAGTTTTTATAATAAATGGATGTTGGGTCTTGTCAACTGCTTTCTCTGCATCTATTGACATGATCATGTGATTCTTATTCCTCATTTTGTTAATGTGGTATATCACATTGATTTATTTGCAGATGTTGAACCATCCCTGCATCCCTAGTATAAATCCCATTTGATCATGGCGTATGATCCTTTTAATGTATTGCTGTATTTCATTTGCTAATATTTGGTCAAGGATTTTTGCATCTATGTTCATCAGCAATATTGGCCTGTAATTCTCCTTCTGTGTTGTCCTTGTCTGGTTTTGGTCTCAGGGTGATGTTGGCATCATAGAATGAGTTAGGAAGCATTCTGTCTTCTTCAATTTTTTGGAATAGTTTGAGAAGGATAGGTATTAAATCTTCTTTGAATGTTTGGTAGAATTCTCCAGAGAAGCCATCTGGTCCTGGACTTTTATTTTTTGGGAGATTTTGGATTACTGTTTCAATCTCTTTACTTGTGATTGGTCTATTCAGATTCTCTATTTCTTCTTGATTCAGTTTTGGGAGGCTGTATGAGTCTAAGAATTTATCCATTTCTTCTAGATTGTCCAATTTGTTGGCATATAGTTTTTCATAGTATTCTCTTATAATCTTTTGTATTTCTGTGATATCCATTGTAATTTCTCCTCTTTCATTTCTAATTTTATTTATTTGAAGTTTCTCTCTTTTTCTTAGTGCGTCTAGCTAAGAGTTTGTCAGTTTTGTTTATCTTCTCAAAGAACCAGCTTTGTTTCATTGATCCTTTCTACTGTTGTTTTAGTGTCTATTTCATTCATTTCTACTCTAATTTTTATTATTTCCCTCCTTCTGCTGCCTTTGGGCTTTGTTTGTTCTTTTTTAAGTTCTGTTAGGTGTAGTTTAAGATTACTTATTTGAGATTTTTCTTGTTTGCTGAGGTGGGCCTGTATTGCTATGAATTTCCCTCTTAGAACTGCTTTTGCTGCATCCCATAAGAGTTGGTATGATGTGTTTTCATTTGTTTCCAGGTATTTTTTTATTTCTCCATTGATCCAGTGGTTGTTCAGTAGCAAGTTTCAGTAGCATGTTGTTTAGCCTCCACATATTTGTGACTTTGCCAGCTTTTTTCTTGTATTTGATTTCTAGTTTCATAGCATTGTGGTTGGAAGATGCCTGATATGATTTTAATCTTCTTAAATTTATTGACACTTGCCTTGTTTCCCAACAAATGGTCTATCTTTGAGAATGTTCCATGTGTACTTCAGAAGAATGTATATTCTGCTGTTTTTGGGTGGAATGTTCTATATATATCTATTAAGTCCATCTGGTCTAGTTTTTCATTTAAGTCCACTATTTCCTTGTTGACGTTCTGTCTGGATGATCTATCCATTGATCTATCCATTGATCTATCCATTGATCCACCCACCTCAAGTAGGGTGTTGAGGTCTCCTACTATTATTGTGTTGCTGTCAATTTCTCCCTTTACATCTGTTAATAGTTGCTTTATATACTTTGGTGCTCCTGTGTTAGGTGCCTATATATTTATAATTACTATGTCCTCTTGGTGGAATGCCCCTTTTATCATTATATACGGACCCTCTTTGTCTCTCATTGCCTTTTTTGCTTTGAATCTGCTTTGTCTGATATAAGTACAGCAAGGCCTGCTTTCTTTTGCTTGCCATTTGCTTGAAGTATCGTCTTCCATCCCTTCACTCTGAGCCTGTGTTTGTCTTTAGAGCTGAAATGTGTTTCCTGGAGGCAACATATTGTTGGGTCTTGTTTTTTAATCCATCTAGCCACTCTCTGACTTTTGATTGGAGAATTCAATCCATTTACATTTAGAGTGATTATTGATATATTAGGGCTTAATGCTGCCACTTTATCTCTTGTTTTCCAGTTGTTCTATATTTCCCTTGTTTCTCTTCCCTTGTATTTTGCACTGCCATTTCAGTTTGGTCATTTTCTGCGATGGTTTTCTCAGTTTTCTTTGTGTTTATGATTTGTGGCTCTGCTCCGATTTTTTGTCTAGTGGTTACCATGAGGTTTGTATAAAAGATCTCATAGATGAGATAGTCTATTTTCTGATAGCCTCTTATCTCCATTAGCCTAAGTAGGTTCCACCCTTTTCCTCTTCCCTAAGTTATTGTTGTAACAAATTATTTTGTTTTGTGTTGTGAATTTGTGATTTAAATGAAGTTTATAGTTATTTTTGATGCTTTCCTTCTCTTTATCTTTTATGTTATAATTAAGTGTTTGCTAACCTGTTTTGATAGAGAGCTGCAATTTTCTGATTCTGTCTGTCTATTTATCTCCTTGCTCAAGGCTTTGTAAACCTTTGCCTTTTTGTTTCAGGTATGAAGGCATCCTTGATCATTTCTTGTAAGGAAGGATCTAGTGGCAATGAATTTCCTTAGCTTTTGTTTATCTGGGAAAGTTTTTATTTCTCCATCATGTCTGAAGGATAGTTTTTCTGGATAGAGTATTCTTGGCTGGAAGTTTTTGTCTTTCAGTATTTTGAATACGTCATTCCAATCTCTCCTAGCCTGTAAGGTGTCTGCTGAGAAATCCGCTGAAAGCCTGATAGGGGTTTCTTTGTAGATTATTCTCCTCTGTCTTGCTCTCTTAATATTTTTTCTTTGTCATTGACTTTTGCCATTTTTACTGTTATATGCCTTGGAGAAGGTCTTTTTGCACTGATGTAAGTAGGAGTTCTATTGGCTTCATATACTTCTAAGTCTAGTTCCTTCCCCAGGTTTGGGAAGTTCTTAGCTATTATTTCTTTGAACAAGCTCTCTGCTCCTTACTCCCTCCCTTCTCCCTCTGGAATACCTATAGTCCTTATGTTGCATTTCCTAATTGAGTTGGATATTTCTCGAAGAATTTCTTCATTTTTTTTAAGTCTTAGTTCTCTCTCCTCCTCCACCTGAAGCATTTCTATATTTCCGTCCTCTAAATCACTAATTCTGTCCTCCATAATGTCAGCTCTGTTTTTTAAGGTTTCTAGATTGTTTTTTACCTCATTCATTGTGTACTTCAGCTCCAATATTTGTTTTTTTTTTTTAGAGTTTCCATCTCTTTTGCGAAGAATTCCTTCTACTCATTAATTTTATTCCTGAGTTCACTGAACTGTCGTTCTGAATTTTCTTGTAACTCATTGAGTTTCTGTATGACAATTATTTTGAATTCTCTGTCATTTAGATTGTAAATTTCTGTGACTTCATGATTGGTTTCTGGAGACTCATCATTTTCCTTCTGCTCTGGAGTGTTAATGTAGTTCTTCACAGTGTTTGATGAAGTGATCCTTTGTTGGTGCACAGTGGTAGTATCAGGTCAGATTCCACCTGCCACCACTGGGGGTGAGCAGGAGCTATGTTTTCTGAACCCGCAACATCTGCTGGAAGTTGCGCTGATAGGGCTCGTCTGCATTTGCCTGCTGGCCACAGCTACTTGGCAGGTCACACATGCATGCACAGGCACTCTGGTGTGGATCTGCTGCCTTGGCTGGGGACCGGCCGAGCTGGTACACTAGGTGGGGGAGGAGGCACACTTTCTTTTGCGTGAGTGCGGGCCTGCTCTGCAGTCACGGGTGGCTCGCCTGGGCTGCTGTGCTTGGTGGGGGCGCCCATATGGTGGCTGAGCCATGTCACTTAGTGTGAAGTGTTCCTGCAGGCTGGGCTGCAACTCTGAAAGCGAAAGCATTCATGCACAGGCATGCCTGCTCCCCTGCCTCCTCTTACAGTTGCATGCTGGCTGCTGCGTGAGGACTGGCAACCTAGATCGCTGCTGCTGCGGAGGGGGAGGGGATCTGCTCACCTCCTTCCACTGGTTCCTGGGGATCCATTACCTCCACCTTCAGATGTATGGCTGTGTGTATCTCTCAGACGTCCTATTGTGCTTTGTAGGGAATCCTCTGTGGGTTAATGAATGTCCGTTTGGTTGTAACTTAGGGTGGAAAGACTAAGGGAACAGCTCACTCCACTATGATGCTGACGTCACTCCCAACCCACTCCTTTCTTTAAGTCTGAAATATACAGGTAGAAAGGGTTCTGGTTCCTCCATATTATACACTTTTCCTTCCAAATCTTATTTGTTCTTTGGAGTTTATTTCCTTAAGTGTAGTCTTCTATTAAAATAAACAAACACTCCACAACAGAATTATAAGGTATATAAACAATAAACAGTATAATCCAGGAGTCTGCTCTTAACATAAAATACACCTACTCTGGATTTCATTCTTATCTGATACTCAAGACAACCAAGCTCCCCTTGTGCATGAGCTGTGGGTTGTGAGCTACAGAACTAACTGCTTCAAGGAGTCATGGTGCAGCTGAACATCCAGCTCAGAGACTCTCCAGAGTGTGCAAAAGCTACATCAGGCAAATAATGTGCAGCAAGATCAGGACCTAAAGTACTTCCGTGTGACAGGTGTACCTACAGAAGTTCTAGGATGAAGAGGACGACTGCCTCGCTTTAGAGGAAGGCAGAGGAACTGCTGAATTAGAGAGCAAAGTTAAAAAGATGGAGCCATTACCAGTCACTATGCTTGTGATTTCTCTGCTGAACATTAGTTTTGTATTTTTTTTAATGCTGCAAACAGATAACTACCTTGTTTTACTAAAGACTTAGAACAGGACAGAGGGAAGAAACCAGAAGTCAACATTCAGTGTTAAACAGGTTCAGGCTCTTTACGAGGAAGCCACACCATGAATCAGGGTTAGTTCGGTCTAACTTAAATCAGATTTTGATATCGAAGTGGTTGGAGCAGCAGACTAGAGATGATCACTCTTGACATGTAAGGCTTTCCAGGTGGTAGTCACGCAGATATTCTTAGTAACCTCACCAATCTACCCACTCTATAGAAATTGTTGCGAGAAAATAGCATGTTTAAATTTATATAAGATGCCTTAAAACTTACCACTTACTTTTACACTGCATCCAATTTCTGGTTTCTACTTTAGCTTCCACTTCTATCCAAGATATGCCCTTGTACAGTTTTTCCCGAACAATTGACAGGCAGCTTTCAGGATTTTCTTGGAGTTTAGAATCCACCTCGTTTAACTCCTGGGGAGACATCTTCTTTAGAATCACTTCTTCAACAGCCTTGATGAGTTTCTGGGTTTCTGTCTTACTCCAAGCACCACGATTTCTTTCTATAGACACAAAAGGATGGTCTTATAGTTGCTAATCTATTTGGTTTCAAACACAATGTTAAAAAGGAAACAATAGGGCCGGCCCTGTGGCTTAGCGGTTAAGTGCGCACACTCCGCTACTGGCAGCCCGGGTTCAGATCCTGGGCGCGCACCGACGCACCGCTTCTCCAGCCATGCTGAGGCCGTGTCCCACGTACAGCAACTAGAAGGATGTGCAACTATGACACACAACTGTCTCCTGGGGCTTTGGGGGAAAAAAAAAAAAAAAAAAAAAGGAAACAATAATGATGGAGACAGATCATTACACATTTGTCCAAATTCACAGAATGTACAACACCAAGCGTGAACCCTAACGTAAACCATGGACTCTGGGGGATTAGGACGCATCAATGTAGTTTGTGGATTGTAACAAATGTATGTCTCACTCTGGTGGGGGATGTTGATACGGCGGGAGGCTGTGCATGTATGGGGCCAGGGGATATATGGGAAATCTCTGTACCTTCCTCTCAATATTACTGTGAACCCAAAACTGCTCTAAAAAAAAAAAGTCTTAAAAAAAAGATAAATCAGGCACTTTTCAGAAGACAATGGGCAACATCTCAATTACACAAACATAAAACTATCAAACACAGTTACGTGCAAATTAAAATAAAACTAATGAAGTGGCCATAGATTCTTTTTAAGAACCAATGCCAGAAAAGTCCTTTCTTAAAGCAGCGTATTATTTTTAACCTCAAAAAAGTTGTTCTTTCTATTCCTAAGAGTAATGTCTCCCGTATGAAACGTGAGGTTCCCAAACACTTAATGGGAAACAAATAACCAAATGACTTTTATATTATGTACATAACTCTCCCCAAGAGTTCCTAATGTGAAATTAACAGCTGCCCCTGAGAATCGCTGAAACCAATCATCATGGAGGGTGTCAAAAGCATCTGTGGTTCACCCTTCTTGTCCAGACATTCACAGTCAGGCTGAGGAAGTGCCTCAAACTGGCAGCCTACAAATATCTTTGGTTTGACCCACAGAGTGTTGTTACTTTTTCCCAAATGACAATTTGGATGAATTTAAAAATCAAGAGAGTTCCAAGAAAAAAAAGGTATCTAGATTTCACACACACACACACACAAAGAAATTTAGATTTTTGCATTACTTTTGGAAACTGGAAGAACTGGCCATACCAAGTCTTCGCCCAACACCAGTGGCTGGAGTTGGAGGCACGAAATGTAAGTGAGCATAAGTGAGGCCATCTTGTTATGCCAAATGGCCCCAGCCCCTCCTCTGTGTGACTACTCGCTGCTCTGTATGTACTCTAAAAAATTCACATGCTCTCCTGACTTATGGCCTCCACTTACGTATGTACCCCCCAATAGCTTGATAAATTAAAACTTTGTTCTATGAGTTTCTCTCTAGGAACAGGCTGACCACAGGCAGGAAACACACCTACAAGGTATCCATCACAGCTGACAGAAAAATGGAACAATGTGATGCCTTGAGCCCGTCATGCCTGGAGACCAATATCCCTGGATCCCTCACCTCGCTGCCCATTTTCCCTATATAACTGCCTCAAGATTCCATAATCCTTGAAGATGGTTTTTTTTGAGACATTAATCTGCCATCTTTCCGATTATGCCAGCTAATAAAATTAAAACTTCCTTTCTCAATCTCTAACTCGTTGTGATTAATTGGCTCTGATGGCGGTGAGCAGAGCGAGCCCATTGTTCGGCAACAAAAAGTCAAAGTCTCCAACTCCCCTAGGGCCTGCCACACTCCTCCAGCCACGCAGACGCCAGCTGTCCAGCCTGCTGCATTGCTCTGCCCATGTGGCTGGAGCATGTGAGCCCTTGTGCTAAGAGTAACACTGAGGACTATCTTCTTAGAGCTGGGGATTTTTTTAATGTGAAGAATATAACCAAGGAAACTTTTTATGATAGAGGAGAAAAAGAGACAGGAGATCACCAACTCAGGTTTTGGGAGAAGTCTCTAACAGCCAATGGAACTGCATTCCTCCCTCCCATGGTATCCCTAGCCACCTTGGGGAAGGGACCTCCTCTGCCCAGGCTCTTCTACCCACCAGCTTCCTTGGGTATTGGTCTACTTGGCAGTTATAGTCGTGCTGAAAGCCACTGAACTGAGGTGTGGGAGGAATCAGTCTTGGGAATAAAGGTTGTATGGTTTCATAAACACACGTGAGGAAATGGAATGAATCAGTATATAGAATGGCTTGAAAAACGTTGGCTCTCTCAGCAGACAGGCCTGCAATGATGCCTGGGCCCTGGGTGGTTGTGGGCTGACGCAGGTGAGCACTAGAGACCATAACTTACCGCTGCTGATCTGGGAGAACTTCAGGGCAACGGAGAGGCTACTTCGAGCCACCATCTCACCAATCTTTTTCCAATCGTTCCCGTGGAGGGAATGGTATATCTTTAATTTCTCGGTATCTCCTTTGCTATACCTAAGAGAAAGGGAAAACGTGTTACAATTTTGAATTAACTACAAGAGTAAAAGCTGTATTCTCATTGCTGTATACTGTAGTCCTGGGAAAAGCAGAACGGGGCGGGCCGTCAGGAAACCTGGTTCAGTTCCAGTCCTACCGACGGCCAGAGCTCTTGTCACTTTGTCTTGGCATCTCAAGCATGGTCATCCTACAAATCATTCACCGCAGTCCCCACCAGGCGCCTAGCTCAGTTACACAGTGGCCAGGGCAAATAACTGGATAATGTTATCCCCCATCCAAGCCCCTAAAGGCTTTGCTTTTCACGCACAAGAAAACACAAACTTCTTAATGTGCCTGCAAAGCTGGGCGCTCCCTATGGTTCAGCCCCACTGGCCTTCTTTTAGGCCTTTCTCACCCCAGAGCCTCTGTAGCTGTGGTGGCAATGGCCTTCCTCTGCCCCACCTGGACAGCTCCTGCACTCTTCAGACGCAGCTAAATGCCCTGTCTTCAGTGAGGGCTTCCCTGACTACCTAAGGCCCCCGTGGTTCTCTCCCGGAGAACACTCTGCCTTGCCTCTCTCACTGCACTTGTCACAGCTTACAATTATACATTTAGGGGTCCTTTGTTGATCTGTGTCTTCCTCTAGACCAGCCCTGTCCAGCCGAAAGATAATACAAGCACAGGTGTCATTTAAAATCTTCTAGTGGTCACATGAAAACCAACTTTATTTAGTTTTAATGAATTAATTTAATAACATATTTTATTTAACCTAATATTTTAAAAATGCAATCATTTCAACATGCAATCAGTATCCAAAAGTATTAATGAGATATTTTATATTTTCTTCATACCCAGCCTTCTAAACCCAGTGTGTATTTTCCTGTTACAGCACATCTCAACTTGGACTAACTACATTTCAAGTGCTCAGCAGCCACATGAGTCTGGCGGTCACTGTGATGGGCAGTGTGGCTCTGGAGGGACAGTCCTACAAAGGCAAGGACCAATTGGTTTGCTATGCTATGGTATCCATAATGCTTGACAGACCACATTCAATAAAAATGTGACAAATGGCTTAACTCAAACATGTAGCTATTTAAGGAATTGAAGGTGCATTAATCCCACATAAAAGAACATATAAGAAAAGAACTAAAAAAGCACTATAAGTGGATTTTGAGATTAAACACCTTACATGTTTAAGTGAAGACAAAGCAATCTTTGCGACATTCTACAATTCCTCAACATGGGGAGTGGTGTTTGTTTTATTACTAATGCAACACAGAAGAAGCCCTAGTCAAATACTAACCATTTCTGAGGACAGCAATCCAGAACTACCTCAGACAATACGATCCTAGCGCTCTCAGAAATTCATCTATAGATGCAGAGAATGGTAAATAGAGACTCGGAATCCTTCACTATTAAGAATCAAGCTTTCTAGTAGTTTCCTTATCAAGGCAATCAGGGTCTTCCTGAGATTAAAAAAAACCCTAAAGGCACCCTTGAAGCAACAGAAAAGAGGACATCAGAGAGAAACTGAGCGTACAAAACGAGGAAACAGGGGCACTGACCTATAAAGGCCCTCAGAGCCTTAAAATTCTTTGATTTTTGATTTTCCATGGTTTTTTCAGTTAAAAATTCCTTAAACTGGAAAAATATTCTAAGGGTAAATGGTCACCACAACACAAATAATATGGTACAAGTCAATGAACTTTATTAGAAGAACAGACTTTTATTATTCTAAAAATTTCATTCCCACATTTATGTCACAGGTAGAAAAATATGTTACCTCAGCTGCCAGCATTAATTTACCAAAAGCATTCTTTTAAGTCCCATTTAAAATGTCATCTTTAGTGAATTTCCTTACAGGTTCTGTCTGCAATCGTCTACTGTTGGGGCTTGGGAAAGAGAGTAGGGCAGGTTTCAGCCTGTGTGGGAGACCTTTGCTCTACCAAAGGTTTATCCCCTGTGGTAAAAATTTAACAAAACAAAACAAAACCAAGGTCATATCAATCTTTGAAGTTCAGACGACACATCTGTCTTGATTTAGACTCTATTTCAGTAGAACTCAAATGGCCCTGCTCGCTTTACCAAGTCTGCCTCCCAGTGAGGCCAAGAGCTGGGCCACTGGGGGTTGTGTGGGCCTCAGAGGGAGGAGCTGATGCCTGCTGCTTATCCCTTTGTCCTCGAGCAGAGTGCTTACCCACAGCCAACACTTAATCTACATTTGTCCTATTTCGAATGTTGGAAACAAACTATAATTGGGTATTTTATTAGGTAAAAAGGGAGAAGAAAATGCCCATCACCACGAGGCACTCTGCATTGACACCACTGAATCACACTTAAATGACCTCACACTAGTGCATACCTCCCCCTTCAAATATTTACTGAAAACTCAAAGAACCGGGCAAGTGCTGAAGGGAACATCGCACTGAGAAGGAAAGTTTGGGTTCATAAGGAGCTTACAAGTTAGCAGAGAAAAATTCATGAGCAACTGTAAGAGGCGGAGCACGCTGAGTGCCAACATGCAAGTATAAAGAAAAAGCTGACGATTCAGAAAAGGAAAGATAACAAAAGGCTTATTAAAGAGGTGGAACTTGAGATGGGCCTTGAGGACATACACCTGACAGCAAATACACACTCTGGTTTCACACACAAAAATCTTCACGATGTTTTTACTTCTAATCTGTTGTTGTGGACATTTTGATTCATAGCATCAGCAAAGACTAGAGAAGGGCTCTGTCTCCAGCTGCTAGGACTTTTTTCTTACCTGCCTTTGTAATTATTGACATCGAACATCTTCTTTGCTCGATAGTATACGAGTTTCCAGGGCCGGGCAATGCCCTTACCTGAAGTCAGAAGAAAGGCAGTCAGAGGGCCACACAGAGCACAGCATGAAATGCAGTCACAATCCTAAAAGGACCCAGGACAGCCCCTTTAACAACACTAACTCTCCCAGACCCCATGTCGAGGCTTGGATTTCATGTCCTGTAGAAAGCTGTCTCGAGGAGCAGATGTACAAAATCACTAGTCTCCTTGCAGATCTCTGACAACTAGACGCTTAGTATGTAGAGGCTCCAGCTTCTGGTCTACTGAATTCGTGGAAAAGACTCTTACATGGCAAAGTAATTTCAACGTAATTTGAACTCAGAGGAAGGGATGCTAAGGTGGGGAACACATGCCAACTTTTCTCCATAAGATAATAAAAAAACTTTCCAAATGAATAAGCTTTTCTTGCTTTCCCACTCTAAAGATGAAACAGTCCCTCAACAGGGGCTCACTCTTCTGTTTTCCTTTGTGCATTCCAGACAACACCTAAGAAATTATACTCTTTCAATTCAAGAGAGATTTTTTTCAGTCCAATCCTATATCGCTTCATGACCTTCTAACTTTCCAAGCATCTCCTCCAGGAGGAGGGTTCCAGCCACAAAGCACATACACGGCTACACTTAAAAAACTTAGGAGACTCTGGTGCATATAAGCACGTGCTTTGTGCAGTATATGCAAAAAACACATAATAAACAACAGGAGGAGAACCGAAAACCATAATTATTACCAAGTAGGAAAGCCAGAAGTTGATAATTTAATTTTTCATAAAATCTGTAAAAGCATGATACTTGGGAGACATGAACACATTCCAAACCCCCAAAAGTACAGGCTGGCAACAGGAATACTATTAACCAGAGCGGCAGTTAACATGCATTGCGTGCACTGAATGGGTCAGGCGCTGTGCTCAATTCTTACCGCGGGTCATCTGTTTAAGGTCGGAAGGCTGTGGATGATCAAAGAGTGAACAGCTGTAAACTTACCAATGTGCAATCTAAATGAGTATTTTCTTTTTAAATCGGTGATCACAGATTTCTCCTCTGGGTATCTGTCTGTGTACAGCAGCTTGTCTGCGTTCTCAATTCCTGTCAGGGATAGAAATTCTTGCACGTTTTTCTCTAACTGCTTATTTTCCTTTACAGAAAACTTGCCAAATTTAATAGCGACACCTAGGATTTGGGTGGGGAGAAAAAGTATGTGCTGTCAATAATGAACAAAAGCAGACCTAGCCCTTGGTGTTCAGCAGTTACAGTTCCCTGGCCCGCAGCATCGCCCTGCGGCGAGCAGCCCTGCCTGTGCACACGGCACTTGCTCTCCCAGGCCCCACCGTGGAGCTCGGCTTTCCTTCAGAGCTCAGCTCTACCCACAGTCTTCTCCCAAGGTCTTCCCTGGCCATCCCGTTCCAAAGTGACTTCTCCTGATGCATCAATCTCTTTTTAAAATAGTCACTTTTTCATATTAAAAAGTAATATATATTCATTAAAAATTCAAACAGTATTGAAACCAAAGTTTAAAAGAAGTCTCCCTTTTACTCTCCTCTGCCACACTACTCTCCCTAAGGTAGTACTATGAATTGGCTGGCATGATCATGAATACTTACGTATATTCTCTATGCATATACATCAGGGGGAGCGGTCACAATGTCATTGCTCTTTACATTCTATTCCTCTTTGTAACTCAAAGCACTTAAGTTTCATTATGTATTGACTGCATTTTACGGTATATTTTTCTATCCTTAGGCTTTATTTTTAAAATATCTCTTATAAAATACTCATAAAAATTTCAACATAGAATATACAAATAAAATGGGAACATTCTATAGATACTGCTCTATAAATTGTGTTTTTCTCACCTGTCAATTTTTTAAAACTAATCTCTTCAACATGATTAATTCCATATGGCTAAGGCCCCTCTTTTCACTTTTTTCAATGACTGGTGGTATTGGGCCTCACATAGCAGACACTTAGTAAATATTGCTCATTTGTAGTACACAGCCTTACATTTGTACTTTATTCTTAAATCCAGTAAGCTTTCTGGGAAGTTCTTTAACACAGTGAAATCAAGGAGGAGACCAAGTTGGGTCTCGCATGAGACCGTGCCCACTACAACCAGCTCACCCTCAAATTAATATCTTGGGGAAAGATATTACACCTCATTGAAGCTGATGATGTCCATATGAGTGTTTTAATTTTATTTTACTTTTGTATCCTTCCCGGTGTCGCAGCCAATTAACCTCCTCCTCCTCTTCTCCAGGATTGGTCTGCTAGGCTGTGGATTATCTGGGTCCTTCAGCCCCATTCTTCCTTGCCTCCTCTACCAGAAGTTGGACAAAGAGGAGGAAAACCAGTGTACTTCATTTTGCTAATTTTATAGCTCGGACATCAATGCTGGAAGGGGATAAAGCTGAAAGTAGCTAAAGGATGCTTCTTGTGAATCTAGAAATCCAAATGTTTCACAAAAGGAAGTCAGGGGTTAGTTACACGTACAGGAAAGTTCAACAAATATTAAAGTTCCACAAGCTCACCCTGTGCTTTAAATTCTTTAAACCGTCCCAAGTCATCCCGATACATTCGCTTGATGGTAGTGGCAGCCCGTTCCTTGATGTTAGGAATGAACTCTTGGAGCTGCTTTACGGCAGAATCCAAATCCACGTCGGAATCAACAGACTCTCTCGAATCTTCAGATAAATATTTTGTCTCAGAATCTTTGGCCGATTCCAAATTGCTTTCTTCTTCATTTGTAGGTTCTAACCTAAGGGGGAAATCAGACTGTTAACATTAACATATCACTTGCCCTAATGGCTTTTAAATTCTTTTCTTAAAATGACTCTCACTTAGGCTACTACACGTTAAAGCTAGAAGGGATCTTGGAGTTGATTCAGTCTGTGAGGTCTAAACTCTTTCATGAAACTTCGCTAACTTGGATATCTCTCAGAGGCTGCATAGAAGGTAAATGCACCACCCTAAGTGCCATTTCCACCAGGTATTATTTCTCTTATTACTATGTCTCAATTTTTATGCTTTAGATATTGACTTTCCAATAAGCTAAGCCTTCTTCTACCCCCAATGACACTCAAGACACCTCTCCCCGACCCTTCCAATGAGTTAAGTTTTATAATAATGGTTACTAACTAGTTAAATCAATTCAGGGTTTACAGAGTTACAGTTGCTTTGCTGCAGTTTTCTACATATCTATCACTAATTCATCCCCAAACTCTCTGCCATGTCCAAATCTCCCCCTAGTATATTCAACTGTATCAGCTACCCACTCAGACAAGAAACTGAAAACGGATAATTGTGTGCATTTGTCTAAGCAAAGGGTCAAGAGCTTTCAGAGGGCCCACATAATACAAGTTAAGAACCACAGTCCTAGAACATTCCTGCTTCATTATCAGTGTTCTGAAAATGTCCCCGATAAGATGGCACAGAGGATGACATGAGTGGGCCCACGAACAATATCAATACAGCCTGAAGTGGGGCCCTCTCCCATTTAACTTCTATGTGAAACTGTTTAAAGCCAGGACAACCTAACAAATGTAAGAAAGTAACTGAGTAAAAATGAGGAGAAAATCTGTTCCAAGTCCCAGGAACTGAGATAAAGTAGTTAAAGAAAATTCTGGCATTTATTCACCAGACAGTATACTTAAATGATAATTATATAAATAATGATATCTAAATTTCTTTTATTAGTGAGAACCCTAATTCAAGTTTTTTTCCTGCTCTGTAACATTCTAAGTTATCTAATCCTTTCTTCTGTCTATATGCATATAGACAAACAAAAGTAATTGGGGGGTCTTAAAATGCCTTTTCAACTTATTCACAGAATTTCAGAGCTGGAAGAATTTTTAGTGCAAATCTAATCTAACTGCCTTATTTTATACATGAAGAAGGGAAGCTACCTGCCAAGTTTCCTCGGTTAAATGTGTACACTGTTCTGTTCATTTGACGGTCTCTTTATGATTTCTGCCATTTACCATGTATGTGACAAATAAAGAGGCAATGGGCAGAATTCGTACAGAAGATGTCCACCCTCCGAAGGCACAACATTCCCACATTACCTCTGCACCTCTCTGGAACAGGCCTGGGTTTTCTCCTCTCGTGGCCTGGGTCTCGCACTTTCTTCAATCAAGGTACAACTACCTTCCAATGAATCAAAGAGTGTGTCCTCAAAGCCCGTACTGAGCACCGAAAGATCACCACCAGATGCTACGGCACTTTCAACAGAAGACCTTCGCTTCCTTTTCTTAGCCTTTTGCTTTACACTGTGGGTTTCCTTCCTGTCTTCTGTAGTCTCGACCTTACCGACCACTTGCGATCCCTCAGAGTTCTCAAGACTCTCGGGCACGGCCAATGCCTCAAATTCCTGGTTATTTGAAATTTTTCTTTTTTTTTTCTTAGACTTGTTTCTACCAGCACATGCTGGTAGTTGTGTAATTTCACCTTCTAGGCCCACAGAAAGCAGGGATTCCTGCTTGTGTGATTCCGACCGGGGCAGGGTGATGCTCGCACACGGGCTTTCTTGTAGAGCATCACAAGAGCCAACTTTCCTCCGATGTTTTTTGTTCTTTTTCTTAACTTTATGATGCAGTTCTTCTGACTCATTTTTACGTGATTTAGTAACTGAATGCATTTCGTTTGCTTCAGGCTCTTGTGTTGACTTTTGTTTCTTGCTCGTATCAACATAGATGACGTCAACATCCTCTCTACATTTTTTTGGCGTGTTCTTGATTTTTTTTTTATCCACCAGGACACACACAACATCTGTTTCCTCGTCTACCCCCAAAGCATGATGTCTTCTTTTTTTTTTCTTCTTGGGTATACAAGTATCCTTTTCAGTCTCATCACAGATTTCTGATTTTTTCAAAGGAGAAGAAACAAGACACTGGAAATCCTTTCTCTTTTTTTTACTCTTAGTTATGTGAGGCTGTTCTTTTGCCAGGGGGGAGTCTCTGAAACTTTCATGGGAATGCCTCCGATGTCTGTCCTTATATACTGAATATTTTTTCTTTTTCTTGTCAAAAACTGGACCATGGATTTCCAATCTGCTTGATTCTCCTTCCATTTTATTCCTATAGGGAAACTTGACAACAATGATTTATTTTTGCAAAGCATTTTAAACATTAGCCTCAAGAGAAAAAATCACAGAAAAATGAAATTCTATGACAAATGACAAGCCTGGAGTCATGATTATAAATTTTATGTTATTCTAAATGCACACTGTAGGCTCACTGTAATTCATTCTGTCTGCCCATTGCCTTTATGATGTAGAAAAAAGTAGTTAACAGAGAACGGCCCTGTACGATCAGGCCCTTGTTCCCCTCACAGCTTCATCTTTTTTTGTGTGTGTGTGTGAGGAAGATCAGCCCTGAGCTAACATCCATGCCAATCCTCCTCTTTTTGCTGAGGAAGACTGGCCCTGAGCTAA